GGCCAGGGGAGGGGGGAGGCCCGCCCTGTGGCCAGGTGTGGCCAGGTGGGCCAGGTGACTGTCCGGCAGCACCCAGGCTTTGGGGTGGGGGCCGAAGCCGGGAGCGCGCTCCCTCATTCTTGTGCTGCTGCGCTCGTGTGAAGTCCGTCTCCCGACTTCATGCGAACTTCGGCAAAGGAGTGAATTTAACTGGATAGTTTGATCAAGGACGAGGACTTTGAGTTACTTCCAAATGAGGGGCCTTCTAATTTAATTTTCCTTAAACTGCAAATGAAAGAATGTAGATTTGTATAGCTGATAACATATCTAAAATATCTCAACATTGCAGAGGAGTTTTTAAGATCTAAAATCATTAAAGCAAGTAATGGTATATATTGTAGAAATGATCACCACCACCGTAGTTTAAATTTGTTTTTCTTTCTTTGTGATGAATTTTAAGATCTCTCTTAGCAACTTTCAAATATGCAATACAGTATCCTTAACTAGTCGGCATGTTATATGTCAGTGATTTTCAACCGGTGTGCCGAAAAATTTTAGTAATTAGTTTATGTGTGCCCTAAGATGAAAAGGGTTGAAAATCGCTGCTATATATTATACCCCCAGGACTTTATAAATGGAAGTTTGTAACCTTAGGACAATTCCCCGCCCCCGACCATCACTCTGTTGTGTGTATCTGAGCTTAGTTTGCTTGTTTTGGGGTTTTAGATTCTATATACAAGTGAGATCATATGTCTCTCTCTGACTTATTTCACTTAGCATAACGCCCTCAGGGTCCATCATGTTGTCGCAGATGGCAAGGTTTTAGTCTTATGTTATGGCTGAATAGTAAGCATTTTATTGTGTATACTGCAGGAACTCAAATAAAATCGTTTGATTATAATGTTGGTGGAAAAAAAATGATTCCAGGCCAACACCACTATTTGTGGAATTTGCATGTTCTCCCCATGTCTGCATGCGTTTCTCCAGGTGCTCAGGTTTCCTCCCTCATCTCACAGATGTGCACGTTAGGTGAATTGGCCTGTCTATTGTCCCAATCTGAGTGTCTGTGTGTGAGATTACACCCTACATGGAAGGGTGTCCTGTCCAGGGTGGGTTCCCACTTTGCACCCCAAGCTGCTGGGATAGGCTCTTGCCACCTATGAACTGGTGATGTTTTGTGACTAGAAATAGCCGTTGCATCTTTTCTAATGCCAATAGTGTACAGTTTGATTACGATTGATTTGTAATATAGATCAAGAAGCTTGATACCTTGAGCTCTTTTTCAAGATTGTTTTTATAATTTTCTTGTAATTACAGTTGACATACAATAATATATTAGTTTCAGGTCTATAACATAGTGATTAGACACATAACTTAAAAAGTTATCACCTCAGTAAGTCTAGTGCTCATATGACGCCATACATATCTATTACAATATTATTGACTATATTTCACATATTGTACTTTACATCCATCCCCATGACTATTTTTATAACTGGTAATCTGTACATTTTAATCCCTTCACATTTTTTACTCAGCCCTCTAACCCCTCTCCCATCTGGCAACTTTCAGTTCTCTGTATGAATCTGTTTCTGTTTTGTTTGTTCATTTGTTTTTTAGAATCCACATATAAGTGAAATTAAATGGTATTTGTCTTTCTCTGTCGGACTTATTTCACTTAGCATAATACCCTATAGGTCCATACATGTTGTTGCAAATGGAAAGATTTCTTTTTTTTTTTTTTAATTGATGTCAGAGAGGAAGGGAGAGGGAAAGAGAGATAGAAACATCAATGATGAAAGAGAATCATTGACTGGCTGCCTCCTGCATGCCCCCCACTGGGGATCAAGCCCGCAACCTGGGCATATGCCCTGACCAGGAATCGAACCGGCGACCTCTTGGTTCCTGGGTCGACGCTCAACCGCTGAGCTACACCCGGCTGGGCAAGATTTCATTTTTTATGGCTGAGTAATATTCCATTGTACATATCTATGTATACATCTTCTTTACCCATTTGTCTACTGATGGACACTTAGGTTGCTTCCATATCTTGGCTATTGTAAATAATGCTGCAGTGAACATAGGGATGCATAAATTTTTTTGAATTGGTGTTTTGTATTTTTTTATATATATAAACTAGGGGCCCGGTGCACAAAATTCGTACACTGGGTGGGGGGGGGTGTCCCTCAGGCGTTGACCCCCATCACCCTCCAATCGCAGGATCGGCCCCTTGCCCAGGCCTGACGCCTCTGTCAGAGGCGTCAGGCCTGGGCAGGGGACCCTCATTTCCCCCTGATCACTGGTTCTGCCCCTGCTCAGGCCTGATGCCTCTGGCCCAGGATTCAGGCCTGGGCAGGGGACCCC